TGTATTATATTTGTAAAATTTTATTAATATTTTCTATTATTCATAGAAATGATGCTCTTGGGTTTACGTTAACGCAACAACCTATTCAAAAGAAGAAACCACCTCCTCGACCACCACCACCAAAGTTTAATCAGAATTATTCACAGACACAGAAGGAAAAATTTAAAAAACCAGTATGTAGAGATTAATTATATTAAAAATTTCATGATTCGTAAACATTATTTAATGTTATTTAAATGAAATTTATATAGGCAAAGCCAACAGAACTTCTGACCAATCTTTTTGGAAGAAAAAGAAGTGAGCACTCAAGTACAACACAATTAAATAGTCAAATACAGAATGCAATATTACGACCAGAAAATACAAATGGATCAGTTTGTTTAATAGACTTTAGTCCACCAGGATCTCCAACATTTACAACTCGATCAAGTAGTGATGGTGTTAGCATTGATAGTTTTGGCAGTGACGGTAATTCGAATCCATCTGCATTCACAAGTAGTGGAAACACATCTCAAACAGAAAGTGCCTTTGAGGATGATTTTGACTTCTTTGGAACATCTACTAAAAAAGCACCACAAAATGATCCTTGGCAAATTAATTCAATGACAGATCCATTTGGGCCATTAGAAGTAACTAATCATAATACACTACGATCTGTAAAACATGTGAGGGATTCATGTTTCTTTGCTTTTAACACAAATAATCATACTAAGAATCAAGTGCCTGCCAATCAGGCATCTTTGAAAACTACTCAATCCATGCCAACTATTATCCGTGTAAAACCACCAAAACCTCCAGCACCAAAAATTCTACAGAAAAAGGTAGAACAAAAAATTAATCATATTGAAACTAAGTCAAGATGTTCAAATAAAACAACAGTGCCTTTTACTAAGTCATTGACACGAGATTTAACTAATTCATGGCAAGTTGATTCTAAAGATAGTGCTTCATTACCAATGCCTACAATACCAGCGCCTGCACCACCTCCAGAATATTTGAGAGAAATAAATAACGATCTATTTGTAAGTAATTATAATACAATCGATGTTTATATTTGTATCATAATAATTATTTTCTTTCTTAATTTATTTTTCTGTTTTCTATCTTTAGATGAATAATGAAGAACCTTATGGCATTGCCCTGTATGATTTTCCATTAATACATACTGGCGATTTACCTTTTAAAGAAGGAGAAAGAATATACTTAATAAGAAAAATTAACGACGATTGGATGGAGGGTAGAGTAGGAAGTCAACATGGAATATTTCCTACTAATTTCATTGACATAAAGATACCATTGCCGGGTGTTCCAGATAATGTAGTTACTGCAATTTATCCTTTTAAGGGTGAAACCACGGAAGATCTAACGTTTGATGTAAGTTACTGAATGATATCTAATTTTTCTAAAAATTTTATAAACTTCGTTTTATTTATATACATATTATAGGAAGGAGAAAAAATTACAGTTCTATCAAGGATATCACAAAATTGGTTGTATGGTGAGTGTAAAGGTCGAAAAGGACAATTTCCAGAAAATTACGTAAATAGAATCCCGTGTAATGTTCCGTTATCATATTAATTTGAATGTTGTATAATATTACAAGTCGTAATATGTCGGTAGTTTCTTTATTGAAAATTTTATCTTTATTCTTTCTATCCAATAAATATTTTTACAATAGGATTATGTCAAAATAGAAAATTATAAGTTTAAAACTCATTGTTGAAATGCTGTCCAAACATTACTGAAAAGGTGTCTTTCAAAAAATCATATTCATGAAAAGACTGAATTGTGTGCAAGTATGCATTACCTTGCGAATTTGAATAAAGCAGTAATATTACCAATTTTTTAAATAAAATTTTTAAAATGAAAAATTTACATTTCGAAACTTTTAAAATTTAGAAAGGTAAAATAATTTTACACTTTAATCTCACAACAAAATGTTTAATATTTTCTAACTTTTGCACAACTAATATTTACAGATATGTATTCTAAAATTATTCTCATTTTTCTTTTTTCTTTTGTTTTGTTTGAAAGAAAAACAATAATTCAGATAAAATGATTTTATACCATCATAAAGGTATTTAATTGTTAAACATTGAAGTTATTCTTTAACTATGTAACATATATTTTCATACATTAAAATACAATTATATGCAAAATACGCGAAGAAAATGTATACATAAAACTTTGTAATCTATTTTTCAACATAAACTTCAATATAGTTACGCACAGTGCTGAAATTATGACAATTAAATATAAAATTTTGATAAACACTATTTACCTTTATGAGTACATTGGTATACTTGTTTAATAAACAGTCATTTCAAATAAGTATATAATATGCTACATACATGCAACATATAAAATGAATAGTTATATTTTTTCATCTGTACATAAACTACTTTAAAATACAGAATTACAATTAAACATGCAATGTTTTTGTTTCTGTAGTACATTTTAATATTATACTTTTAAATGTATATGAAAGAAGTAGCAGTTTTTGTAACTTTTCTGTGTAACATATTCCGTGTTACACTGAAGTGATTAAAATTAAGTATTAATTAATGAAAGTAACAAAAGGAAACTATTATATCAGATAAATACATGTATATTACATTTTGGTCCTGGTGTCATTTATGTTTATTGCATATTAAATTGTATTTGTAATATTTAAAACTTGTACTTTAAGTTACCAATACAAAAGTAATGGTATAATTAATGTATGGTATATGGATATGCAATTCTGAAAACGTAATAATTTAAAAATTGTTTGTATTTGAAATCCATATATTTTAATGTAAAAATTAATTTACATGTTTATTACAATCAAACATATTTACAAATCTAATTTGCGCATATCTTAAAAATTAAGAAAAATTACGGATTACCCATTTAAAAAATGTGTATCTATGCAAGTGTGTATATATATAAATAAGTGTTTTTAAATTATATGTACTAAATTATTATAAAATTAGTACAAATGACAGATAAAATTTCAACTACAGTATTAGTAAACAATAGTTTAATCAATTCCACGATCTATATTGGGACCAGATATTTGATTTGTAAAATTAATTTAAATGAAGAAAATTAGAATTATGATAATGGTTGTCATTTGTTACATGGTCATGTTTGTAAATATAATGCAGAAAAGTCTAGGTTCTAAAATTATTTTAATATACATAATGTGATATTCGACTGCATTAATAGTTATTTTCGTCATGTGTATAAAATAAAATATTTAATGTGATATATAATATTAGTAATATAATAAATGTCCTACAAATGTATAACAGAAATTGAATTTTTGTAAGTTGTGAAAATATGTAACAAAAATAATGCAAATATAATCAAATGAAAGTTTACCTACCAAAAAGTCATATAACTACTAAAATTTATAGATAATAGAAACAGGTCGACGTAAAATCTTATTTCGTGATGTTTAATATTGACAGTCTTTATAAATTCCGTTTATATTTTGTTCGTATTAATTATTTACAACAGTAGTGCTATTGTTTTGTGGAGAAACACTGCCAGAGATAGAATGATCGCCAAGTGTGAGAGCTCTTATCAGTAGTACATTAGAAGACTGTACAGATTTTAAATGTGTAGGATAGTTTGAACAAGATATACATTTGTTAACATGCTTAGAAAATATTGAAAATGTTACAGTTTTGTATCTCCTTGATGTCTGTATCACGACATTTCTAAATTTTTCACCTGTGAGATAGTATAAAAAGAAATTAATTGCAAAATTCCAGTGGTATACATGGAAGCATAATCCGCGGCACCATTTTAACAACATTTTTTCTTGCAACCTGAAAAACAATTAATGATAACAAAGTATAAGTCTTGTTATTATCTCAGTGGCAGGGAATTTAATTAAAATAACATCCCAATAAAGTTCCAAAGTTTCAACTATACCAAGGGGTAACAATAGCACTAAATAAACAGTTGACACAACAAATAATGTTCTAGAAGTATGATGTATTCTGTTTGCTTTATATCTGAAATTTTCTAAGGAATAACATCATTGAATATATTCATATTTCTTTAATTAAATGCTTTACTTCAATGCTATACTTACGAGTTAACCTACATCGGATTTTTTCGGTTTTATTCATATGTATAATAAGCAAAATATTTCCAATAAATATAAAGAGTAACGGTAACCATGTTGATAATGCAATATAAAAATACATAGCACTACCCCATGGTTTTATTTTCTTTTGACACGGTATAAATTCAAAAACACTGTCTGTTTCATAGCCTATCAATTAAGCACAGTGTATTGTACATGAAATAAATTTATTATATATATTATGTTATTAAAATAATAAATATATAAAATTCAAATTGTAATTCCAATTTAAGTAAAGTAAAAAAAGTAAAACATATAAGTATTTACCCCCTGAATACAATTTTGTTAATGATATTATAAAGCTGACACATATCAAAATAGTAATGGTTGTTATTTCAGAACAATTATTATAACGTCCATATATTCCAAAAGGAAACATAATTGCACAAACACGTGTCCATGTGAGAGCTACAACCAGCCAAGTAGATGTAAATTGAAAGAATTCCATTGTGACTGAATTCAAACTGCATAAAAACCTATTATTCTACAAAAATAATATTGGTTTGAGGTTTTAGTTGCATATAGGACAAACTTAATTGTTTAGTATAATTGCTTACCATGAAAAGATTGTTAACAAATATAAAATGAGATTTTGCAATACCCACAGCATAATTAAATATTAGTGCTCCATTATCAGATAATGCAAGTGCTTTCAAATAAATTGACAAGTTTGATTCACAAAGTATAGGTGTACTTAGCATTACAAAGGAAATAGTATTCAACAATACTCCTACATAAATAATTAATTCTTCATTACAACACAATGAGTAATTTAAATTTTGTGTAAAATAGAATAGAAAACTTCCTTTTTGCTTACCTAGTATTATAATAAATGGTGTTATGTAGCTAAGTAAAAAACGTACAAATTTAACAAATGGTTGTAATGATAACCAGTAAATACGAACTTCACAAGGCCATGCAACTTCTAAGTTGGGTTGTGTAAAATTGTAAATAAAATCCAAAGTTGTTAATGGTAGTGGACATGTTAAATTTCCTCTAATATAAAAGCTATGCAATTCATACAAATACATAAATAGAAGTATGAAACTATATTTAAAAAATATAAAATAAATGTATTTGTAGGATACAAATCTTTTTGTTAATTGTATTTATTTCCTTCTTACCTGACTTCATTTTTTATTGAAGTTTCAGTAAATTCTATTGATTGTAGCAGCACATTTAATATCAATATGAATTGCAGATTTATATTGCCAAATGAAACCATTTGTATACATAGAGTTGACTTTATGGAAAAGATAGGAAATTTTATGTAGCAATGCCTACAAAATATATATTTTATATATTTTGAAGATATATTGTAAGAAATATATTTCTGCTTGAAGTTTATGTACCTCCTTCTGTCAAACACCTTTTCACTGTCATGACTAATAATGATGTCTTACTTCTCATTAAGAGCTGCAAAGGCACCTGTTGTCAATTATCATAACATAGAATTATTCTTAGCAAATATCATTTCAATGCAGATAACAGCTTATAAGACATGTATATAACTAGTAGCAGACGTGCATTTTGTGTACATTTAAGTGCAGATCTGCATATTCAATAATGAAAGTTTCTATAACATATGACATGTATTTTTTGTAAAATTGTACTGCTTTAGGAAATAATTATATTTTAAGAAAATTATAGCACCAGTCTCAATTTCTGTAATAAAATTAAGTGAAATGCAATTACAAGTATAAAAAATTAAATATACTAAAATAATGTTTTAATATTGAAAAAAAATTATAGTATTTTTTCTTATTAAATAAATACATTGCTTTAAATTAAAATAAAATTTTTAAAGATACATAAACAGTAAATAAACATAAAATTAACTTAAGAAAAGATGTTTCATATATACAGCATTTCCCAGTACACATGATACAGTCGGAAATTAATTTTTTATATGATATAAAACAAGCCAAATCTGCAGAATAAAGTTTTTGCATACATATCTAGCTTCATTGTCGAAAAATATTCGTTTTTTCGACATACATACGTATTCTACTATTAATTTTTATCCACATTGGTATTTGCAGACATTGATAGTGATATAACTTAAAGACTAAAACGGATGTTTGTAATACTTTTTTTATTATTCTATAAATATTGTTATAATATCGATTGTATCTCTCATACAAAATTTT